CCTACCTTTGGCTCTCTTAAAAGGGACCTTAGGGTCTACATCCCCAAGGGTCCCCCAAACCCTAGCTCCCAGGTTTCTACAGGAAGGGTTTAGGGTTTAGGGTTTAGGGTTTAGGGTTTAGGGTTTAGGGTTTAGGGTTTAGGGTTTAGGGTTTAGGCGGCATACCATATAACAGGTAGGCGAGTCGTAGGAGCTTAGGATTTGGGGCATTCAGGGTTTGAGGGTTAGGGGTGTAGGGGTTTGGGGGCTAGGGTTTAAGACCTTCGGAAATACGACCATTCACAACACAAAACTGCCTCCCAAAAGCCCAGCAGAAAAACTGAACCCGCAAACCCAGAATCCGAAACCCCACGCCACCACCATCACCACTCGCGCACGCTGAGCTGCGCCGGTCAGAGTGCCCGAGCAGGACCCACCGGCAACCGATTCCTCTCCCATGGATTCGCAGACGGCAGGTATGCAAAATGAATTTCTTACCATTGGGCTTAAGGGTTTTGATTTGGGCTTAGGGTGGGTGTAGAGATGCATTATGTATAGAGTCTTGGGTTTGGGGTGAGGCTTTTGGGTGCAGAGCATGAGATTTAGGGTTTGGTGTTTAGGGTTGGATACCCACCACCCCTGCCTGCTTCGAGAGGACAATCAAGGAAAACGGGCCTCCTGTCCTAGACTAGCATGGGATCCTGAACAATCCCCTTCAGAAGAACCAAGACCGGCCCACTCTTCGGGTTCCAGGTTAGATTCAAGAGCGTCTGTAGCGTAAGACCCCAAAAAACCACCTGTGCGCTAAAACCCCTAAAGAGGAAAGGTTTTGATTACACCAGAAAAGGATGGTGCCGCAATGACAGCACTACGGTCGTTGTTCGAACTATGGTGAGCCGGGATCAACCTTTAAGAACAGCGCGACTGGATGGAGGTAAGCGCCAAAGTCATCCTGGATCTGATTTACTCTCGCTCTCTTTTCCGCAGCTGGGCCCTGAGAGCTATAGTTGATCAAGCAGCAGAAGACGCCACCAATACAATGACGACTCAAGTAAGAATTGGAACATGAACGAAAGGGATCAACAACACCCACAGAGATAGCAACAAGAATTAGCTGCTGCCGCAGCATCAGCAATGAAAGCAACAAGAACGGGGACAGTGACAACGATGCTTGGTGACGAAGACAATGCCATTAAGAATCGAAACCACTGAGGTCGCGATGATCACAACGACAAGACCAAGTTTGAACAATCACAAAACCAAAGCCTCAGACTCTAATGTAGGAATCGGAATAACGAGCCCCTGGTGCTTCATGTTATGAATTATGAACTCTACTGTTGTTGGGGAATTTCGCATCCAGGGGTTCTTGAAGACCAAAGCCTACATCGTTAATCTATCATCGGGGCCTTTGAGCATCTTCGCCGAGACCACTCCCGTGCAGGCGAAGCCCTCGGCAGCATCCCACGCATTCTGGCTGCCAACGTGGATGCCTGTCCTCGAGGGTGCGGGGTTCCGGTTGGGGCTTGGCGCTCGGATAAATCCCTAAACCTTAAACCGCAAGGTCGGGAAGCTTCGGGCTTGAGGGTAGGAGTGTAGGATGGGGGTTTAGAAGCTGCAGGGATGCACAGGCCTTCGGCCTTCGGCTCTTTGAGCGCACGGGGCAGGCTGCCATGGGAAGATCTGCGGCCATGTCGGATCTTACCCAAAAGCACGAGATCCCCAAGCCTGGAAACGAAGATCTAGGAACTCTCTGTGAAACATCGCAAAATCGTTGTCACCGTCTCAATCTCTTCAACGAGTGTGAACCCTTACTAAACCCTGAAAAAACAGCAAGAGGCCCAGAAAAAACCTCAAAAACCTGTGTAGCTCTAAAGATGAAGCTTAAAACTCGAAACCCTAAACCCTAAACTCTAAACCCTACCCTAAACCCTAAACCGTACAGCAAGATCTTGCCTCACACCCCTCCAAGGCTGAGCCAAGCCGCCCCAATGTGTACTTCGCCCGCTCGATGAAAACGTAGGGTGCAAAGACGCACAGCTCAACGCCTCAAGGTTCAGGGTTTTGGTGCCAGGGTATACCTAAACCCTAAACCCTAAACCATGAACCCTAAACCCCAAAACCTAAACTATGGGTTTAAGTTTGAAGGGCTTAACAGTTAAAGGGTAGGATGGGGTTTGGGGTCTCGGGCTAAGACACAGGTTGAGGGTTCAGGGTCCCGGGTTAGAGATGTCTAGCTGTTTTGGTTTCAAAGGGGGGGTTTAGAGTTTAGGGTTTAGGGACACGGGGGTGGGGGGGGGGGGGAGTCCAAACCCAGTGGTTTAGGGTTTGGGGTTCTGCCGACAAAAGCCAGCGCCCCAAATAGCGCCGGACCCCTTAATACCACGGCTTCTTCAAGGAATCCATAAGTAAAGGCATCCTGCCCCTCAATTCCTAAATCCTGCACCTACACCTTATACTCCAAACCCTACAATCACAAATCACCGGCTTCAACCCTAAGCCTAAAGACTTGAAACCCGTGAACCCAAGGCCCCAAAAAGTCAAACCCGAAGACCCCGAAAACCACAAAATCCAAAATCCTGAGCCGCAAGCCTCAAATACGTGCTCCATAGTCCCTTTATGATCCTTCTCGCCATAATTCTCAGTACCCTTATGAGCACCATTTTTCCCCCATGTGCCAGGCTTGGTGCGCCGAGTGTTAGGGGGAATGGGTTATAGGGACTACTATAAGGGACCTTCAGGCCTTAGACTATCATAGGGATCCATGCCCCCATTCCCTACTAAGCGAGGGGAGACACCCGCTGGTGCTGGCCCATGTACAGCCCTGCCAGAGTTCGAACCCAAGCAAGCCTTGGGGGCCGTGTGCAAATTTCGATACAGAGCTCATGAAACAAGACTCATAAAATGCGCAATCCCGATCCCGTCCTTCTGGTCCTCCAGCGCCGAAGCAGGCCACCATCTCGCCGAGCAGTTTGTCCACCTCCATCGCCAGGGACGGGTTTAGGGCTTGAGTGCGTTGGGTTTGGGATTCAGGGTATAGGGCTTCTCGGCTTCAGGTGATGGGGTTGCCGTTTTGGGTGTTCGGTTCTCTAGGGTCTTTGGCTCAGGGTTACAGAATTCGAGCTCAGTGTGGGCCAGCGCAGTTGCCACCCTGAGCGCTTTTGCTGCACGCGAAGCATTGCCTCCCAGTAGGGGGCTGCTTCTCGGCGTACGAATTGTTCCTGCTGATTTTCGAAATCCAAGCATGGTTGCTTGTCTCTTCAGGTCTTGCAAGCTCCCAATGGCCAACATTGGCAAACTTCGCAAGTTGTGTGTTTATCAGAATTTCAGTGGTGAGTGTTTGCCATTCAGGTTTGACCAAACTCCCCAAATTTTGCAAAACTCCGGGCATTGTGGTGTTCTTCTAATTTCGGGGAGGCTGCATTGCCACATTTCAGAAACTGGTGCAATATGGGTAGTTTTCTAAATTAGTGTCCCTTTTTGGGTCCCCAATATAGTACGGCACCCTTATAAAAAGGACTCTAAAAGGGACCCTAATTTAGAGAACTACCCATATGTGGGCCACAGCTAAGCCAAAATCCAAGCATTCTCGCTCATGCCTAGACTGCTTGAGAACCGGGCCGGCGTGTGCTGCGTTTACTTAGAACCATGATTTGAATGAAACTCGCCGCCAAGTTACGTCTGCTGAACGCGATCCTCGCTTACTTCCCCTGAATCCTACGGTTGATGATACAAATCCTGCATTACCTTGAGGACCCTAAACTACGGAAATTCGCCTCGGCCCCCGGCCGAAGCGGTCAGAGGTTCCTATTCGGACTTCCTCTATTCCCTTAACCCCCACCTTTCAAAAGGGTCAGTTGATACGCAAGTTGATACGCAAGCTCCTCCCCTTCCCGGTCTTCGTCCGCTCCGCCAACGGCGCCCAGCAGCACGTTGGCCCTCTTTGTTTGCGGCCGGGCCGAGGCGGACGACGCGAAGCGTTTGAAATTATGGTATATTCCTTATTATGGGTAATGCAGGACTTATATCATCCACCGTAGTTTCGTGCTGCTCTCGGAATAGAAACCTGTGCTGCCGCACCACCCCGGAGTCTATTACAATTTATGGTTTAGGGCTCTGAATTTCGGGATGCTTTGGGGTCTAGGATTGAGGGTTTAGGGTCTGGTAGGTTTAGGTTTAGGATTTATGGTTCGGGGTCTGTTAGGTTTCGGGCTTCGGGATGAACCTCATGCGAAGACTCGGGCTTTAAATACTTGTAAAGCAGCTTTTGGGTTAGATTCTACTGTAACTTATATGGGGACTCTACTTAAATTCGACTACCAACTATGCTCAACTATTGGAACCACTATACTATAGGGGCCTTCATAATTAGAATCGGGTTTTGCCTCTTTTATAATACAACCATAATAAGGAACCCCAAAAATAGTATAGGTAAGTATTTGGGCCCCTACATTCCTGAACCCTCATCCTTCAGCCCGAAGCGAGAATCCTTCACAACCCAACCTTGACCACCCAACAACCAACCTGGTGAAGGACTTGTATAAGAAAGTCCTCAGAAGGAACCCAAAAGCTACACCCTAAACACCTATATAAACTCTCAAAGCTCTAAGACCCCTAAAACCCGACACCCCGAAAACCCCGAACCACCAAAAACCCTCTAAGACCCGAACACCCTGAGTGTTGGCGGCTCAAGAACACACAGCAAGTTCCAAAGCCGCGTTCAGTTCCCCAGGCCTCCTCCACCGTCTCCTTGGCGCAGGGGAGTGTGACGCCAAGAAGCCCGACAGCCCAAAAGAACATAGGTTTACTGGGGGTTAGAATTTCTGGGTCACGGCTATTGGCTTGGGGATTTTTTTTCACTGCACTGACCCTTTCTCCGCACGACAGTCGAACAGGGGGCTTGGGGTTATTAGAGTTCTGGGTCTAGGGTTAGGGTTTACTTAAAGGATCCTGGGACTTAGTAAGTAGGGTTATAACTAAAGTAATTATACTTATATATACTTATAACCCCAATTAAGGGACTTATAACCTTACTTACTAAGTCCCATGATCCTCCAAGTACCGGTTAGAGTTTTGGGTTTTGGGTGAAGGGTTTGGGGACTCGGGTTCAGGGTTTAGGGCTGAGTGAAAAATCCTCCAGCCCTAAACCCTATATCCCTGAACTCTCAACGCCCTTTAGAGGCCTTACGAAAAAGGCCAAAAAACAAACCACTAGATTTGAACCACTATAACCCCTTATCCCACAACCCTAAACCCTAAACCTAGGACCCCAAATGCACGAAGTCCCCTACGCCTGAACCCAGCCATGGGCAAATAGCTAGCAATCCCACTCCTCAGAGCTCCCCCATAAAATAACGTAATGGTTTAGGGTTTAGGGTTTGGGGTTCAGAGTACTGGGGTGTCACCCCCACCAGCCCAGAGCGTTCATTGAAACCTCAATATGGGTAGTTCCCTAAACTAGGGTCCCTTTAATACCCTTTTCGAAACCCCTATAGATCCCTTTAAGGAACCCGCAAAAAGAGGGCCCTAAACCCTAAACCCTAAACCTAAAGGGACCCTAAGTCAGAGAACTTCCCCCTATGCCAAGGGTCTAAGCTGCATTTCCAATTGGCGCCGACGAAGAGCCTGCATGGTTCTCCCAAAGACTGCAACGCCCCTTAACTGGGGGTTTGGGGAGTTTAGGGTTTAGGGTTTAGGGGTTTAGGGTTTAGGGTGTAGGGTTTTGGGTTCAGGATTTTGGGTTTAGGGTTTAGGGTATAGGGCTTTGGGTTTAGGGAAGGGACAAGGCAAGATAGGGGCCTTCAGAAAAAGAAGAGGGGTTCGGCGAGGTTTGGGCTATACTCTAGCGTAAACACTTCTAGCCTGCAACAGGATGGAAATCTTCCTGCCTAAGATTGGGGCTTCAACCCTAAACCCCTAAACCCTAAACCCTGAACCCCTAAACCCCTAAACCCGTAAACCCCTAAACCCCTAAACCCTGAACCCTAAAACCTGAACCCCTGAACCCCTGAACCCCTACCCCCGAACCCGAAAACACCAAACATCCAGTCCGCAGGTGTGCTCGAAGAACCCGAGTCTCACCTCACAGCCCCTCCTGCATGTATTGTACATCAGATACCGGCAGGTTAAAGTTTAGGGGGTTTGGGGTTTAGGGTTTAGGGTGCAGACTAGAAATGCTGAGCCCTAAACCCAAATCCCCGATCCTATTAAACCCAAAACATGCTATCCCCGTCGGGCTCTTAAGTCTGCGACGAAGCAGTTCCCAACCAAGTTGTCCACCAACTGCCCGATTAGGATGACATAGGACAGCATCCACACAATTTGCGCGAATGTCTTATGGCTGGCCTTCGATGTTCCTGCTATTCCCCATTACTTCCCACATGGCCCCCGTACAAAGGAGCACCCTGGTTTGCTACATCTTCATGAAATACACTGACCTGCACACTCTTCAGTCCTTGCGAAACCCTTAGCCAAAAACTCCAAAATCTAAACCCCCCAAGAATTCCCCACACCCCGGAAGCTGCACAAAACGCGAAAGTCCGACCTGCTGCTCTTCGCTGTCTCCGCAGGCTTCGCTGCTGCCGGCTTGGCTGCCGATTTCGGGGACGTCGACGGCGAGGTCGAAGCACCGGTGCCCATGGCTTTGACAATCCGACAAGGTCTGGAGCAAAGCGGGGGCGGGTTCTTACAGCTTTGCGCTGCTAAAAGCAGGTGCAGCTCAGAGTACTGGAGTGTTTAGGCCACTAGTGCCTGTTGCCTTCTGATTGAAGCTGAACTTGCTACTCGTGGCACTCGCGCGTACGTCTTCAAACGCAAGACGTGGTACTCACAGCTTTGTCTGGAACTGGCAACAGCTGCGAATCATGAAGACCCCTGCTTAGTAAATAGACTTCCCTCCGCAGCTGAGGACTACAACTGGGATCCTAATGTGTGAGTTCCCTAAACCCTAAACCCTAAACCCTAAATAATCTACCTTCAAGATCTATATGAGGAAATTAAAATGAGGACGTCTAGAGCAAACATGTAGGTTTCTTAAGATCCAGGAAACCCCTTCATGGGGGAAAGTGGGGAAATGCTGGCAACGCTGCATTCCAGAACCTGAGAAACTGCACTCCAGACCGTGGGAAGCCACTACCCAGGCGGTGGGAACAGTTCGCAAGCCATCATCCCGACCCTGACCCTAAATAATCTACCTTTAGGATGTATATTAGGAAATTAAAATGCGGAAGTCTAAACTAAACTACTCCGAAACTTCTAAACCTTTAACCTCACGCATGCCAGGGGCTTGTTAAGGCTTTGGGCGCATGTTGTATAAGAATCTCGAAGCCCTATACCCCAAGCCCTAAACTATTTTATGACCCGGAACCCGAGGGAAGAAGATTTTTCAAGGATTCTGGCCTCTACATGGCACGGATCCCTGCAACCCTAACAAACGCTTCTAAGAGTCTAGGGGTTAGGGTTTAGGGTTTGGGTTTAGGGTTTAGGGTTTAGGGTTTAGGTTGCTACCACCTATGAAAACCGTACACAGTCAAGCTCGATTAAACCATCAAGAAAACAACACATCCACGCATTATGTAAAAAAAGAAACAAGCCACGACAGCTTTCAGAGAAACCACAAAATCATCGAACATGAAAAACCATGAAGACCCTCTGGCAACAACCCCAAAGCATCACAAGCTCCGGACTGCGCCAGGCAGCGAATCGCCGGCCAATGCAAGCTCAGGTCAGCCACAGCGGCAGGGAAGGCGTGTTTAGGTCTGGAGTCTAGAGTCTATGCTTCGGTTTCGGGTTTAAAGTAATTTTGGGGGTGTTTGTGTGGGTTTCGGGTCTTGGTTTGGAACGCTTGTGCATCTTAGGGTTCTGGTGTTTGTGCGACCTTGCCGTGCGGATGTTGCTCGGTGTGCGGTAAATTTCATTTTGTTGGTCCAAGGTTTATTATTGGTTGCTTCGGGCCTGGATTATCCAAGCGTTCCAACCGGGACTGGCAGCGCCGCAGCTGGGGTTGATGGCACACAATCGCCGCCAGCTCTTCCTATGCTAAACGTCCTCGAAGCTTGCTCTAAAGTTCCAGCCTCAGACCACGAGGATAGTACTTCTATAAAAGCTTCGTTTGAGGTCCGAATTCTGATCATGAGTAGCGTATTAAAATAGGAACCCGGAGGTCCTAGACCCTAGACCCTAAACCCTAAACCCTGAATCCTGAACCCTAAACCCTAAACCCTAAACCCTAAACCCTAAACCCTAAACCCTAAACCCTAAACCCTAAACCCTAATAGAAGCCCTAAACCCCACAGTCTGAGGCGGGAGCGAGTCCGGCCGAGAGGCTGGCACCTGGACTGTGCCGGAAGCTGACTTAAAGGATCATCGGACTTAGTAAGTAGGGTTATAGTTAAAGTAACTATACTTATATTCACTTATAACGCCAATTAAGGGACTTATAACCTTACCTACTAAGTCCCATGATCCTCCAAGTACATGAAAATCGCCAGCCGCCGGGCATGGATTCGGACAGATCTTAAAACCCTAAACCCTAAACCCTGGAACCCTAAAACCTAAACCCTAGAACCCTAAACCCGAAACCCTTTTAATGTAGGCGTTGGGGGAGCTAAGCCTTAATCGGCAATGCCTGGGGCGGGGATCTTACGGTTCTTTCCACAGCGAGGATGCGCTGCAGCCGGAAATGACACCGAGCGGAGGAACGGAGCGGGGAGTAGCCCTTCCAGCCCACACCTAATGGGTTTAGGGTTTAGGGTCTAGGGTTTAAGGGTTTGGGGCTTAGGGTTTAGGGTTTAGGTTTAGGGTTCAGGGTTTAGGATTTAATGTAGGGGCCTTAACAATTAGAATGGGGTTTTGGGGGTTCGTTTTTGTGATTATAGTATAATACCACCCCCAAACCCGATTCTAATTATTAAGGCCCCTATATTACGCCAACTGGAAGAGCGTTTGGAAATGAACATGACCGATCCAAAGCGGTGAAACCAAAATCTGAACCGGCAAACCTCTTTGCAGACACGAGCACGTCGCCCCGTAGCCGGTGGAACAGCTCGGCTAAGTGCCTGTCCCGTCAGCATAGGAATACACTGCGGCAAGTCTGCCAAGGCGCTTCATATGCTTTGAAGCAGACTTTTACAGCTCGCGCTGTGCATCTTCAAAATAGTCCAAGGACGACTCTGGACAGTACGTCCATGGTGGAACTCAGAACTGAGATGAACCAGTTTTGGGCTTCTTTCGGTTACTATAGAGGCCTTAACAATTACCTATACTATTTTGGGGGTTCCTTCTTATGGTTATAGTATTATATAACTCAAAACCCTATTCCAATCATTAAACCCCTACATTATCCTTTCTGTTTGGGGCTTGTCGGGCTTACGGCATTCGGTCTCTAACTTATCTGGTACTGTCAACGCGAGTTCTCAGACAAGGGGCCTGCGCCGAATCCTCCAGCAGCACGGTTTTGCGCTTCCTCGGAGTTTAGGGTGTAGGGTTTAGGGTTTAGGGGATTCTGAGCTCTCTGACAATGAGGGGGTTTCCCTCGCATGGTAGAAATCCCACATGGTAAACCCAAACCCTACACCCTAACCAGTTCAAAATGCTGGAGCAAGCCGGCTTCCAGGCTTCCACGCCCACCCTCCAGACGAACACAAAAGGTCCGCCGGGACTGGATCTCCGATGAAACCACCTGGGCTTTTGGCTGTTAAACCCTAAACCCTAAACCCTAAACCCTAAACCTTAAACCGTTCATAGGATTGTTGTAAGGATGTGGTGGGGTTTTATGGGGCGCAGGATGTATGAAGGCAGCTTGACCGGGCTCCAGTGATTTTATAGGGGCCTGTTGAAAACCCTTCCGGGATCGTTGAATTTGACATGAATTTTGCCAAGGATTTATGAAAGTTCTTCTCCAATCTACAAAGCTTAGGGCTTATGGCAGAGCGAGTAGGGGCAGGGATGTTAGGGTTGGAGCCTAGGGTAACGAGAAATACCCTTGGAGCATGGCTCCAGCTTGAACATCCACACTAAGATCCCGGGACCCTAGAGACCCCTAAAGACTAGGACCCTTACTATAAGAACCCCAAAATACGGTACCCTATGTTTGGAAACTCCCACATTGCCCCTTTCCGCCCTTCCATGAGGATCTGACAGCTTCGACCTCTGACTTGCGTGCATGGACCTGAGGTTGATCTGGATTCTGGGGTTTAGGGTTTAGGGTTTAGGGTTTAGGGTTTAGGATATAGGTCTCTTGCCCTAAACCCTAAACCCTGAACGGCCCTAAATCCTAAACCCTGAACCCTAAACGGTAAACCGTAAGATTGGCATGGAGCTCTGTCGGGATCCTGAAAGGGTTTTGGGGGCCGAGCGGTTGGGCAAGATGGGCTTAGGACCTTGCGGTTTCGGGGATTCTTGCTGCCTTTCTGAGGCCGTGGGCTTTGGCTGGCCTCGGACGTTCGACTTCCCTAAACCCTAAACCCCAAACCCCAAACCCTAAACCCTAAACCCCAAACCCTAAACCCCAAACCCCAAACCCCAAACCTTAAACCCTAAACTCCACACCCTACACCCTAAACCCTAAACCCTAAACTCCACACCCTACACCCTAAACCTCAAACCCTAAACCCTAAACTCCAAACCCTACACCCTAAACCTCAAACCCTAAAGTGTTTTGTTTGGGGGGGGGTCGTTTTCAGGGGCTTGGGAGGAGTCTAAGGGTCGGGAGGGTGCGCTCATACCGGAAGCTCCTGCTTAATGTAGGGGCCTTACTAATTAGAATAGGGTTCCTTTAACGGATGACTATGAGGGTGATTATAAGGGTTCTCGAATGCTTTAATGTAGGGACCTTAATAATTAGAATAGGGTTTTGGGGCTCATTACACCATGGTTATAATAAGGAACCCCAAAATACTGTAGGCAATCATTTAGGCCGCTATAGTAGGTGGATGCCTTGAAAGGACCCTTGTGCCCACATGGCGTTGTCGCCCCTTCGTGCTGTCGTACCAGGAGAGTATCCGTAGCAAAAGGGACCCTCGTGTCGCGAAACCCTCACATGCTGAAAGTGGTAATGATAATTGCAAAGTTACCGTAAACCCTAATCCCTAAACCCTAAACCCTAACGCAGGGGCAAGCCCCATCTAAGACTCAAAACCCCCAAGCAGCAAGCGTCTCAGGCCTCCGCCCGTTCAGCCGAACCGCACAGACACCGTAAAAAGAACTATTCAACCCCTCCTTGACCAACACCTTCCCTCAACCCTAAACTCTAAACCTCAAAAACATGTTAAAAGCCTAAACCCCCATACGCTAAACCCCGAAACCCAAGTCTCCAAAGCTCGTTGCCAGCCGCGGCCCTCTCGCCCAAGGCCCCAGCGACGAGACCTGCAGAAGGTGGATCCATTTTGCTATGATTCTAATCATGTAGGCGCTGGGAGGTAAGATTACAACAAATTTCTCCAACCCCCACTTTACCTGACCTGAAACCATAAACATTCCTAGAAGATGGATACCCCTCGTGTCCTCTACAAGCAGAGCGGAAAGGTCTGCAATGCGGCTTCTTAATATGAGGATTACCTCACATGGAGGGTTCTCCATAGTTAAGCTCCCACATGCTCTGAAACTGGCAAATTATATAGAACCGCAAGGGCGCAAAGGTT